TTGATAACGATATTACGATAAGCATTACTAAGCAAATTATTGGCAAATGTATTAATAAGCAAAAATTTTATTCGGTAATTATAAAGCGATTTGATTTATGTATGTACAATATATAAAATGAATACAACTAGGGAACGGTAACCGTTCTAGTCCGAAGCATAATTCCAGATAAATTTCATAATTTGTTCAATTTGTTCAATTTTGTGAAACACGCGTGACATGACATCAGCAACGCAGTCTGCAGGACAAAACGACATTTTGCTTCGGACAAAAATTTCACGTTATCTAGGAAAGTAAAAATAGATTCCTCCTTAAAAAGTAATCCTTCCTTTTGTATAGAACAGAAATGCGAGTTAATATCGGAAGTTACGCTCTTCGAATTGTTGCAAAAGTCGAATAACAACATTTAAAACCCTGCAATTAGAAACTCAATTAAAAATTTGGATTAAAATCATAATGAGTCAATTACGATACGATAAGGATGTTTTTTGTTTTTTGTTTTAGTTCGTAACTTGATTAATTTCATAAATTTTCATAAATTTATTTGAATGGAGCATTAAAAAAAAAATTTATATATTTTTATCGTTTCATGTTATTTTATATTGTGGAAAAATGTTAAAATCAGCCAATAAGATTCGCTGTGTCGAGTAATTATTAAGCGTGATTTTAGAATCGCGATAAATCCAAAAAAAATTAAAGAAATTAAAACTCGATTATAGGCTGGATTAAATTCTAAAATGTAAAAGTTTAAAATATTTATCACATTAAATTAATATTCAACAAATCAGGAAAGGTTTTATTCTTAAAATCGAAAGTTAACTCCACATCATGGTAATCTACAGCAAAGAACTACAAATTCAAAGAAAGAAAACCCAATAGAAAAAAATAGTACGAACGAACAATGAATTAGATAATTCTTAATAATAATTCTTGCATGATTCTAACACCTGCAGGATGACCTGAAGTTATTGAACCAATATTTTTGAACTCCTCCGTTTCACGTACAACATCAAAGTTTCTACATATATATTCGATGACCTCATTTTTTAGATCTTCTGATTTCCAAGCGTTGAAAAATAAGAATCCGATCGAACTTTTTGGTGTTAATCTCTTCACAATTTCAAACTTTACAAGTTCCTTGAGATTTGTAATAAAGAATTTTTCAGCAATGATGAACAATTTCATAATATCACGTTCATCATGGAGTATCAGTTCATCAGTATATAAAAAGTTTAACATTGTAAGAAGAATCTTTGAAGAAAAGTCAGGAACGTCTAAAATGTAATGAGAACCTTTTTTGTTGACCTTAATCAGTTCGGGTCCGCCTTCTTTGAATAGATTTTGAAAATACTTTGATCTACTTGTGAGAATTGATTTTCGTGCAAAGATGACACCATTATTGACGTTAAATTGTACATCCGAGGCTTCACGATCGTAAAACTCATCAGACCACATGGAGATTATCTTGTTTTGATTTGTAACGCGTTTATTCGAGTCTTCAAAAGAATTCAACTCAAGGCTTGATCCTATGAAAGTGACACCGATAATTAATTTTTTATATGGGCAAGGAAGGAAAAATAGAGCGCCTATTTTAAAGTACCAAAAAAAAAAAAAAAAAAAAAAAAATCAAATATTATAATATATAATTTTTTAATCTTGAATTTAACTACTTACGGTGAATATTATGATATCGAGAAAAATTTGCACAAATATATCGCTCATCCAATATCTTATTTTCCGAAACTTTACAATATATTTTTTGAAAAACGCTGGAATGATCTTTCCAAATATTATCCGATAATTGATCTTCTCGGTTGGCTATCGCAATTAAATCTATTGTGAAGGCTCTTGAACTTTTACCCTAAAAAATCTTATGAATTTAGGATTAATCAATAAATAAAAAATTATATACAAAATGAATGATTCTGATTTATTACCGAACCACTAAATTTTAATTGCCAAAATGCATTGGAGCTGCTTGAAAAAGGTGAAGTGTAATAAGTTTTACAATCCTTTATTACATGCTCAGGGAGGGTGAATTCAAAAGTGGATGTTACTTCGTTTGTCATTTTATCTTTTGAGGAAATGTTGAGCCGATTGAAAAAAATCTTTCTAGCTTTAAAACAAACAATTGATCAAATTGCGTTATGATGCTATTCATATATAGTAATTCTTTTTTTATAAAAAAAGCCAAAGGAAAAAAGGTTTTTTTTTGATGGCTTAGATCAGAGAATCAAACAATGTTAAATAACAATGAAATTATGAAATTGTACCGATTTCACATTCCGCAGTATGTTTACGTGATTATTTTGCAATAACTAAGTTGATTACTTAACTTGGACATTTCTAATAAAAATTTTAAAAAGCACGTCAACAAAAATGTGTCAGCCACAAATAATAAACCGCCAAAAAAGGAATTAGTTAATTCGTTTATGATCCGCAGCAGCCGAATCAGTACGGTACTTCTATTTAAACGAAGTTTTGGGCGATCTTTTCATAGATTCAAGATTGGTTGAAATGGATCCTAAGTACTCGAAATTTATAAAATGATTAAATATTTTCAATGTAAATAAAATCTTAATTTGCTAAACGCATAGATTTTGCAAATACTATTACATTTGTCAGGTTTTTTTACAAGAGAATTAACGAGAAAATTTCACCTCACAAAAAAAGATCTCTCGTCACTTAATTTTTTTATTTTATTTTATTTTTTTTTTAAAAAAAAAAATTTGTTCAATTGTTTTTAAATTATTATTTATAATCGTCCTTTATTTTAATTTTAATTTTTTTTTTTTTTTTGTTCTATTTTTATTTTAATACTACATTTTTTTTCCTTTTGTTTTGAAAATTCGAAGTAGTTTGTTTTCCGGAAACAACATTAAAATAAATTTTGTCTACATAAATAAATTATCTATATTATTATAACTATCATATTAATATACATACATACATAATTTAAGTTAAATACTTTTTTGGTATTAATTTTCCAACAATTTCATGCATGATCTCAATACCAGCAGGATGACCTTTATATTCCGAAGCCAAGGTTTTAAATTCAACAGTTTCTCTGACACTCTCAAAATTCAACACGATAAAATCAATAACGTCTTCTTTGAGATCAGACCATTTCCACGCCTCACTAAATAAAATGTTCATGGCATTATTTAATGTAAGCATTTTGTAAATTTCAATTCTAGCAATCTCTCTTAAATTTGATATTAAATATTTATCAGCGATCTTAAATATTTCTAAAGGACTACAATTTAAATTATTAAAACTTATCTCATCTGTATAAAGGTATCTAAGCATCTCCTTAAATGTCGCAAAGGGAATATCGGGCACTTTAATAACGTAATGAGAATTATTATCAATCTCTTGTATTGACTTATTGGTCTCGCTCCAACTTCCTTGAAATAATCTACGAAAATATTCTGAACGTTTTAATAACATTGATTTACGAGCGTAGGTTGTACCATCCTTCAGTTCAAATTGTATGTCATTTGATTCCCTATCATAAAGTTCTTCCTCCCACAAATTTATAATCTTTTTTGGCTTTGAGGTGGTTGTCATCGGTGAATCGATCTGATTACGCTCAAGTTTTGTATTGTTGAATGTCACCCCAATCGTTATCGGATAATTTGTATTTAATGGCTTATTAAAATTCTTTCCTATGATATTGAAAAGGGATAAACGATTATTATTAAATTGGAAGAAATCTTTTTTAAATCAAAAAGTGAAAAAAAAAAAAAAAATATCTTAAATACAGCTTAGCTTACGCTTACCCCATGCTCTGTTCCTCACGGAGTAATCATCCGTTCTTAGGGAATAAGATTTGTAATAGTTGCAATTCTTGATGTATATCATTGCGGAAAGGTTGGAGCGTTTATCCCAATATTTCATCGTTTGCGTCTCATCTGGATTCGGTATCGCTATAAGGTATAATAAACAAAATTCTATATTTTCCGGTTCCGTCTTCGGGACGTTCGGGAAGTTGAAAAGAATGTTAACATATGTCGGAACGTATTTAAATAACATTTTTAACAAAATTATATTTTACCGGATGAAATTCCAATTGCCAAAAAATATTGTCCCCCGTGGAAAATGCCGGTGTGTATATAACTTTATCATATCTCGTTATCGTATGAGGGATTGAAAATTCGAAGGTTGAATTGATATTCAATGGCGAATTTGACATGATACACTGTGACCGTTGTGTTTTTTTTTTATCTTATTTTACCTAGCAGTTTATAGTTTAGATTTGTGCAGCTTAAAAATATTAAAATTTTTTTTTTTTTTTGATAAAAAAAAAAAACCTTGTTAAGACAAAGAGAAAAAAAGAAGGATGGATAAAAAAAAAAAAAAATTTTTTTCGTTTAAAAGCATATGTTTTTTTAGGACTAAGCCAAAAAGTTTATGAACAATCCTAAATTGGTTTTTTAGGTTTGTATGGCGTGAGAGAATGAATATAAAAGAAATTGTGCGATGTTCAAGATGCAGAGTTTGCAGAGCTAGCATATGATATGAAAGTTCTCACGTGATTCAATTCTCGAAACAAAAAAAGAAAAAAGAAAATGCATCGAAGGGTGATGAAGTTGTCACATTACATATCGACCCTACCCTTATTAGTAACAATCATCTCGTGATTGTAATATAAATCAGGAAATGAATGACGGATTTTCTGACACGATGCTTTACCATAATAGAATCTTGTCAAAATTCTTTATATTTCACGTATAAATTTCCATTTTTTTCCCTTCTCGTTTCCTAATTTTCTATTATTGAAATCAAAGATGACGCGTGGAAATTCGTTATCGCAAGATTTCAGGAATATGATCAACAACTCTCAGTTTAGCGATATCGAAATTTTATGCGAGAATGATGTAATCTTTTACGGAAGTAAAGTTATTTTAGCGGCAAGGTCGGACGTTTTTAATGGATTACTTTATAATGGAATGAAAGAAACTTTTCAGAAGCGAATCTCATTTCCTGATATTAAATCAAGCGCGATGAAGATAGTTTTGGAATTTCTATACACTGGAACCATCGATGCTTCTTTCAATGAGGATAATTTAGTTGAAGCGAATCTAGCAGCAGATTATTTTCAATTATCTGAGTTACAAAGGTTAATGATTGAAAATCTCAAAGACGCGTTTGGTGAAAATGTGAGAAATGTAAATAGATCACCTGAACTCTTATCGGTCTTGATTTCAAAGATGCCTTTCCATCAGAAGACAGGAGGAGAAGGAATCGTGAATGATCCGTTATTCGATTTTCTTGCGGATTCTGTGGCAAAGATTCATTTCGATAATATTCCTTTATCAACATTTTCGATCGAAGCGTTAGAGTATGTTTTGTCCTACACCTTTAATTCTAATGAACCATTCTTCACTCCAGAATATACGATCTTTCGATATTCCGTTTTATTGGCCGCGCAACAGATAGATTTGGATACTTACCATATGTTGGAAGCTAGATTACCTGATCTAGATGACGTTGAAATATTCTTTGAAGATGAACCGGAATTCAATCATAAGAAATTTAATAAAGTTCGACATAAAATTTATCAACTAATCCATCCTTTAATAAAGTTCATCGATTTTCGTAGGATTGATGGAAGTATTTTATCAAGAATCATTGAACCTTTAGGGTTAATCCCGAGTTCGATCATCATTGAGGCGTACAGGCATTACTCAACGAATAAAAGGAACCTTCCGGCAACTCGTGGAATTACGAAAATCTATTGGGATGAAGGGGGAAGCGGCGGTCATATTTATGTTATAGGTGAAGGATCAGTCGCAACCACAAATCATCAATGTTATGAAAACATCAGAACGAATTTCGTTGTATCAAATAACGGTACATTTGAATGGGATATTCGTATTGAAGAAATCGGTAAATTGGAAATTTGTGTGGGAGTGCATGCTAATTCAAAATTTAATTACGATCTGTTTGGTGTGTGTCAAAAGAATACTTGGTTATTTTCTTCTGCCGGCATTTTATATTCTCATACAGGAAGTTCGTTTTTTAATTACAAATTTAGCAAAGGCGATCAAATCACTTTGCAATTAAATATGAATGATCAAACTCTTGTCTTCTCTCTTAATGGTAAAAAGCTCTTAATTACCGAACTAAAACGGAAACGAAAATATTATCCCATAGTCTCTCTTAATCATCCTGCTAAAGTTCGACTTTTACCTAATTTGAGACAATCCTGAGGGCAAATATCATTATGTGGATGAAATTTTTTTTTACATTGTTTTATTATTCTCAATGAAATCCCAATTCCGTTTAGTTGGCAAAGTCAGAATGAAATAAAACAAGTAAAACACATTTTTTAAAAAAAAGTCAGTCAACGTTCTCATCGAAAAAGTATTATCATTTGTTTGTATGATGTTATAAGAAATTATTAAGTTAATAAATTCGGAATCCTAGAAAAGCCATTTGAGCATAGATCGATTACATAATTTGTCACCTGATATAGTGTATATATGAGAATTTGTTTTTGTCTCGTACCTATTACTATCCACACAAATTTCTCTTTAAAATAAACATGCTAAAGCTTAATAAAGATTGTCTTTTCATGATTTTTAACGAATTAGAAAACGATATATCAACTTTATATTCTTGTCTTTTGATAAATCGAGAATGGTGTGAAAACGTTGTTCCGGTCTTATGGAAACATCCTTGGAAATTTTTTATAAAAAGGGATGACTTATATCGTAATTATATCACAAGAAACGAACGAGCTCTCTACGACACGATTATCTTGCATTTATGGAATGAATCACAAGATTATTTGAAAAGTCAAGGGATCAAGTAATTCGATAAATACACAAAAAAAAACCTTTGTTTAACTATGTTGGCTACTGTAAAGATTTGGATTTTTCAAATTTTGATAGATTAATCGATGAGATATTTGACCCATGTGAGGAAACAAGAATGTTTATTAGGAAGACAAGGATTATAAATCTCACAATGCCTAGACTAGAGAATTTCCAGATGCAACATTTTTCGGGAATTGATAATTGGTTTTCAAATCTCGAATGCCTTACCTGTAATACTATAAATCAAGAAACTTTTTTTGAACTGGCCAGATTGTGCACGTCAATTAGATCTCTAAATATTGTCTTAGGAAATCTCGATAATCCCGGATTATTTAGAAACAACTTCATGAAATTGGTTTTTCATTGGATCGTAGAAACGATTATAAAGATTATAAAGATTATAGTTCATTTAGTCGATTATTAATTGATCCATTATCGACAAATGCAAATTCCATTCAACATATTAGATTAGTCAATGCAGCTTTGTTTCCTTTCAGTATCCTCTTTTCGTTGGTCAACTTAATAGTTTATATGTTGGTAATAGACAGACTTATGATTTTTGGTATTTTCTAGAGATTTCTTCATTTCCGAACCTTGTTAAACTTGTCACTTGTAAAATCCCACTTGAATAGACGGCAAGAATTATTGAAAATTCCACATCAAAGCTTAGAGAGATTATAATTGAAGATACAACATATAATCGAATGCATTATGATAGACGCATCCAAACGATTTGTCAAACTTGTCCAAAACCTTAAATATTTCAAGATCATAGTAAAGTGGACTGATGAATTTTACGATCTGAGAGATATATTACAAAATTGTCATAATTTAGAAGGTTTGGTAATTGAATTCCCTTACGATTCTGAATCTGATATTGATGATGATGAGAGTTTGGTGGGGAATGATTGTAAAATATTATTTGATATATTAGCCAAACATTCTCCAATGCGTTTATATAAATTTAAATTACAAAATATAAAGACGTTTATACGCGATAATCTAAAATCTTTCTTTGATAACTGGAAAGATCGACCACCCATGTTATTTCAAACTATTTGGAAAGCATTTTGATCTTATTAAAGAATATACAGCGAAAGGTGTTATCAAGAAGTATGATAATATTTTATATGTGGAAGATAATTATGATTACTTTGAATGGAGGTAAAAGTATAGAAAATTTAAAAATAAATTTTATATACGTATGTTTACTTTTAAATACCTTTGATTGCTCTATTTTATTTTGCACCATAAAATTTGTTATTAAAAAGAAGAATTGTATGAAAACAATATCAAATTCAATAAACAATTTGCAATTCTTTCATATTTAAGATTTATTGAGTTAAAGGAAAGTTTACCAAATGTCTAAACTCTTTTAAATAGAATATAATTTTATAAATTATAAATAAATATTAGTTATAAACATTGAGACTAATTCGCACAATAAAGAAAGAAAATTCTTCTCAATTCACAACATTTATCAGCAATTCTAATTATTTTATAACAACTTTGCCAATTTAATCCCATTACGCTTGGCATTTCTATGAATTAAAAACGAACGACAAATCAATCAATGAATGAATTTCAAATCCTTACATTATTTGTAAGAATGCTTTAATAATATTGATTTTAAACCTACCTCCATCATAACAATTTAGATGTATTTGATATGAAATCATATTAACCATACTTTTAGGTATACTTTTAAACTTAAATTTTGTTTTACATAAATGGCAGATTATTTGTTTCATTATTACCTCTGCCTAAATAGCCACTCGTATTTCTATTCAAAGAAAAATTTAATGTATAAACTTTATACTTATTTTCTTATTTTAATATATCAATATGAAAAACCAAAATGAATGTATTTTATTCACAAATTCTATAATGTAGAAACAATTATACAAAAAAAAAAAAAAAATTCTATATATATCTCAATGAATGACACTTTGACCAGAAAGAAAATCTTACAGTTTGGAAAAATTGAGTCGAAGAGAAAATCATTCCAAAATACCTGAACAATTAATTCTATAAATTAAAACGACAATTGTTAATAAAACCCTGTAGAAACAACCATTAATAACATAATAACTTTCAAAAATACCTTTTTTTTATAATTTCTTTTTCTTGTTCCCAAATCCAATCTCTTATATCATCATATTGAGTTCTATAATAATTTAAACTAGTAATATAATCTAATTTATATTCTTTACCTGATTTTATTAGGGGTTTATATCTACTTATTTCAAATCTTGGCGATATTTCTAATGGTGTCTCTTTCTCTAATTTATAAGATATTTCAAGGATTCTGGAAATATTTATGGTATTAGTTCTAGTAAAGAATTCCTAAGAACAAAGTGGGTTAGCAAAGTTATTTTATTTCAACCATTATAAGATTATAATGATACTTACCAAAATTTGATTACTTTGGTTCATTTCTAATAAAATGTCCCTTGCAACCATTATATAAGAGATTATGAAAAAACACATAAACGATGGCTCATCATTTGATAACAAATGATCCCATAATTCCAACCAATCTTCTCGCGTTAATATTTTTGTAAAACTCCAAAGAATCATTGTCCATACACAATCCTATATCAAATAATCTTTTTTGATTAACATTAATTATAAAATCAGTAAAGAGAAAACTTCATACATTTATTACCTGAATCTTTATATTACAAGACATCAAATGCGTATGTAAATCATTATCCCAATGTGCTAATAAAACATTTATAGCATTCATAATATTGGTTGGAGGGTTTGGAAATTCATCCCAGCGATATTGATACCAGTTAACTAATTATATAATAATAATAATAAATTTGTAAAGCAATTCTTTTCAAATAAAGAAAATAATTAAAAATGTAATTATTCATACATAATATACTCAGAATCAGTTCAAATGATAAAGTTTCGTATGTATCCGATAACAATTCCGCAAATGGATATACCATATGGAATATCCATTCCACTACTACTCGTTGATCATATCCTAATCTAACAAAGGCTGATAAAAAACTGCCACAAATACAATTCGTAATTCTATAAATAAAAATAATCATCCCCAAAAAAGTATGAACTTGGAATAGCTCTTAACCTTTCTAATCTTCCTATTATCCTTCGCCGTTTGGAATCACTCGACTTTAGATTATTTGACAATGAAGCCTTGATTGCGGGATCCACACCTTTGCTGGTTACTTCTTTGTAAGCTTGTCGGTTTTGAGGAAGATCCAATAATATACTCCATACACGTACTCTATTTGATATTTAAAATTAAAAAAGAAATTAAATTAAATATAAACCAAAACGATTTTCGAATCCCACTTGTATATCCTGGTCGAACCTCATTTATAATAAAAAAATAATTTACCTATGCTTGTCCGGGTATCTTCCTAAATGATGCAATTTTTCAACCAATCTCCCTCTTTTCTTTTCTCTTGAATCAGAAGATAATCCCTAGAAAGTAAAATTAGTGATATAATATTTCAAATACTTCAGGTTTAGGGAAATATGGTAAATACCGATAAATTTCTTGATTCCATAGAAGTTATTGAAGTTCTCCTTGAGGTAAGATCTGCTTCTAAAAGTAAATAGTAATAATTTCTTAGTTTATTCAAAATTTCTTGGTCAAGACCTTCTAATTAATAAAATTGATTACCTTGAATTGAAATAGAGTTTTCTGAAGATACGCCAGTTGATGCGATTAGCCCATTTGTTGCTTTAAGCTCTTGACCATAAGCAATATCAGAAACTTCTTCATCATCTTCCGAAGTAACTTGCGAAGAAAGCATAACATTAGATGATAACGACATTCGTATTTCGGTGGGTGGAGAAATACTTCTCAATGTGGAAAAATCACGATATTTATGTTGCAACTTCAAATAAACAAAAATTTCAAAGTTATTAATCATATCAAATCATAATACGAGGAATATTTAATATATACACACAGTATCTGATATTAATACTTCCAAATCCCATATTTTTAATATTGCTCTTTCCTCCATTGAATTTGTTACAATGAATTTTCCATCGGGGGAGATTTCAAAATATTTGATCTATTATCAGATATTAAATTCTAGAAAATTAATTATAACTAATATATAACCATAAACCACAATAAAAAGAAATCTTACGGGACGCTGCACGTTTAGATGGTATATCTGTGATTCAATTTGAAAAATGTCAATAATCAGAAGTCTCCCATCTGAAGAAGAAACCAAAAGATCCTAAATAATAAAATTAAAAAATAGATTATATAAAATTACAATTTTCATATTGAAACGCCATCACGTCTTCCTTACCGAATCATCATGAATTAATTCGAGTTTCATAATTTCACCTTCAATTATAGACTTAAGGTTTATATCTCGAATTAAATTTTTCGTATCGAATTCCCAAACAAACACGTTTGTTCTAATAAAATATTATGATACTTATAGATTACTAAATCAAGAAATTAAACCGGACTTGGATTGGATTGGACAAATGATTTAATTCTAATCGGATATAATTTGGTTGAAAATTTAACAGTAAATTGGATTGGATCCAATCCAAATCATTTTATGATCCGCCAATCCTGATAAATTATGAATGCATCCAGTATCACTTACTTGCCGGCAACTAAGATCAATTTACCATTTTTCGATGTTGCCGCTATTCTACACGTATTATCATACGCGTCACTAAATATTAACAAATCAGAAACTCGTGTTGGAACTTGTAATTTCCATAGGAGATCAAAAGAACTGTTAGACCATATATATATTGAATCATCAAAAAAACTTGTAATGATATATTCCCCTTGCGCTGAGAAAACGGCCTAAAATTATTATAAACCTAACATTAAAATTTTTCATAAATAAGCAAACAAATTACTCTTACAATACATACGCGAGTTAACGCGACATCTTCTTTGATATGATTCAAAACTTTTTGCTTGGACCAATCAACCATATTCCATAATATTGCTTCGGATTTTGCACTGGTTATGACGGCATGTTGTTTTGGGTGCATTGATATCCAATTTACTGGACTTCGATGGCTTCTAGCTTCAGCAACAAGTTGACGAGTCCCTTTATGAAATATCGTCAAGATTAGAAAAGTTACAAAATGGAGAATCAAAAAATTTCTTATTGCTTACCAACGTTGTAACATCTGATAGAGTTGTCGGTAAATGCCACTACTAATTCATTTCGGACCAAATGAGTAAAGGCAATAGCAGAAGCTGCTATACCTAATCGAGAAACCTGCCAAAACCTGTGATCTTTAGCTATTTTATCTGAAAACAAAAAATAAAAGCGAACTGGATTTAACTCACTTGTTTGCACCAAAATCAAATACCATAATGCACCCATTTTGGTCTGCAGCAGCCATCATTAATGTTCCATTCATGGCTTCTTCTAAAATACTAAAACCATCATAAAATCCTGATTGGAATCCTTTTCCACTCTTTTGACTTGCAGGAGCAAAACAAAAACAACCAAACGCGATAGGTCGATTATAAGTTCTTTTAACTTGTTCCTTTCGAGGTCGATGAGCATTTGTGACATTTAACAATAAACTTTGCAAAATGAAATATTTTTTAATTATAATTAACTAATAATTTAATGTGAACCTAATAAATAATACATACCCATATATATCCTCAACAAAATTCTCAGGTTTTTCTTCTTCAATAATATTTTCGATTTCTAACTCCTCCTGAGTTTGGGTTTCCTTTCCTCTAGTTTTTTCACAAATTTGACTTGACTTTATTCCGGCAATAAATACATTAAAAGCCATAACCATTTTATTATAATATAAAAAAGGTGTCCTTTGAAAGAAAAAAAAAATTAGATTTAAGGTACTGATCCAGTAACATTTGTGATCAACCAATCAAATGTCGAAATTTTAATTTATCAAACTAATATGAAAAATGATAAAAGACGAATCAAAAATTGTTTATCAAACCCTTTCACTTAAACAAGTTAAACATCGGAATAAAAAAACATTTCACTCCGCAAAATTTTGATTAGTGAGAAGAAAAATTTTAAATATAAAAAATTTTTTAGCTTCCTTACTTAATC